TTTTTTTTTTTTTTTAAGTAGAGACAAGGTTTCACCATATTGGCCAGGCCGGTCTCGAACTCCTGACTTCAGATGATCCACCTACCTTGGCCTCCCAAAATGCTGGGATTACAAGTGTGAGCCACCATGCCTGGCCTACGTATCTTAACTTCTTTTGTTTCCCTTTGAGGTGGGGTCTTGCTGTTGCCCGGGCTGGAGTGCAGTGGCATGGTCACAGCTCACTGCAGCTTCAAAGTTCCAGGCTTGTGTGATCCTCCCACCTCAGCCTCCCACATCTGGCTAGTTTTTTTATTTGTCTTGCTATGTTGTTGTCCAAGCTGGTCTGGAACTCCTGAGCTCAAGCAATCTGGCCAATCTGTTTTATTTTCTTGTATCACGAAGTTTCACAAGAATAAAAACCATGATAATCTTAGATGTACAATATAATTTATATAAAAACCACCACATTCTTTATTAAAAAGAAGGGCTGTCCAACAGTCCATATACTGATACACAATAATTTATTGAACCCTTCTCTTTCTGGTGAACACAACTCTGAGCTCTTACAAAAACAGTGCTCTAATGGGCAGCCCTAGGCACATACCCTCGCACAGGGGTGAGACTGCCTTGAGGATAACGCATACCACGCTGAAAAGCAGCTGGTTCCTTTCTGGTCTAGAGACAGAGTCCTAGCCTCTAGTGAAATAAGTCGAAGCATTTAAGAACCCACTTGTAGATGTGAAACTCAGAGACCACAGAGAACTTTACTACTCTTGCGGGGGGCGCCCATTTTGCACTACGTTGTTTCTCTTTAAAATGCCAGCTTGCAGGTATCCTAGTTATAAAAACAATATAGGCAGGGCAAAGGCACTTAACTCAGGCTGGCCATCAAGCACTTCTTGAGCAGGCAGAAAGGGGAAATCCAATCTGACCTCTAAGTTCCAACACAGGGAGCTCTGTGGACAGATTTACCTTCTTGGGTGATTTTATGTCTTAATGAAAAACAGAAGAGGAAAGCCAAGTACTTTACAAGGTCAAGTGAATTGGGAGATACGATTTCAAATAGAAAAGGTGGGCCATCTCATTTGCACTGGAGATTTTTCCTTTTCCTTTTTATTTATTTATTTATTTTTGAGACGGACTCTCGCTCCATCGCCAGGCTGGAGTGCAGTGGCACAACCTCAGCTCACTGCAACCTCCGCCTCCCGGGTTCAAGCAATTCTCCTGCCTCAGCTTCCCGAGTAGCTGGGACTACAGGCACACGCTACTACACCCAGCTAATTTTTGTATTTTTAGTAGAGACGGGGTTTCACCATGTTGGCCAGGATGGTCTCGATCTCTTGACCTCATGATCCACTGCGCCCGGCCAATTTTTCTTTTTTTAAGATGGGCCGCTGAGTTGTAAATGGTAAGTGTGAGACTGCATAAGCCTTCTAAAGACACTGAAAACAACTTCTAATAGCTCACCCTGCTACAGTGTTACCTCTCCACCTTAACACCCCACAGTTGTAGTGCCCCTGGCAATCTTACCAGTTTCCACAAGTTCTATGGGTTCTGCTTCCAAGGAAATCTCTGGGGTGGAGGCTGCTTCCCGAGTTCGCTTCTGGGCTTGTCTAGAATTTATTGTTCCACCACGACGCTTTCTCTGAGTAGCAAGGAGGAAAAAATAGTCACATGACCACCAGAATGTCAGGGTTTCAGGAAGAGCTAAAAGGGCAACACTAGAAACAGTTCAACTCAGTAAGAAGCCAGTGAGTAGACTTGAAGTTAGAGCTCCTTTCAAAACTTGAGATTCCAGAATACTGAATGCTTACAGAGAGAGAAAATCATCCAAAACATACAATGAGTAGAAATTCTAGAAAGTAAAACTTCTGTTATATCAAACTATCCGCAGGTCAAAAGGGACATGATGCATCCCTTTACAAAAGCTTGGTAGTGGATGCCCTGGCCAAAAGGCTGGAAACCTTTCCCTTTAACCAAAAGTTATCAATTTCTCTTCCTTGACTTTGTGTTCAGCCTTATTAAGCCCTTTTTGTTTCTTAAAGAACTTCAAGTTTTCTGAGTTTCTATACCTTGTGGAAAGCTTATCTTTCCTTCGGAAATGTGGCCTTGAACCTTTCAGGATATTATCAAGTGTGATTCACACCAGACAATCATTTCCCACAAAGAACTCAAAGAACCAAAGCTTTTTCAAGCCTGTTCCCAGTGGCTGCCCAAGAGCCATGTCTTCCAGAAGGCTTGTCTTCCAGGCTCTCAACTGGTGGATCTGCAAATGACACTGACCAGCCTTTCTTCCACATCCTTAGGGCTGCTGGTTTGCCAATATGCTCCAGCATTTCTGGTCTGGCTGGTTCCAAAAGATGAGCTGAGAACATCCTCTACCTTCATCAGGGAACAGGCCTTCCCAACAGAGCCTGTCGCCTTGTTATTCCCACTGTGTGTTTCCGTGCTGTTCTCCCCTCTGCCCTGTCTTGCTCTCCTTTGCACCTGACCACCTGGGACAGGTACTGCACTACTAAGTCTCAAGTTCCTCACCAGTACCAGCCTTGCACAGCTGTTACAAGGACTAAATGAGATCATTATACAAAGTACTGTGCAGAGATGGAAGATGCCACTAATGGCCCAATTCCTTAGCCTTACTGGGGTCATTCTGACCCAGGAAACTCTGAAAGGACCAGATACTGAAGGTGAGATTCATATAAGACCCAGGAACAGGCACCACACAGCCAAGCCTTTGCTAGGCAACAGGGCTAAGCCTAATTCTTTGTGTTCCAATGCTACTCTATCAAATGACAGCTTGAGATATTTTGGAAATGAAGCTGGGTATAGCAACTTCTCATGGACTAAGGAGCACAGAACCAGCCCCAGGAGGGCCCAGAGGCCAAGTGACAGCAGCAGCTCAAAGTGAGCAGCTGCTCTTTGCCTCAAGGGAGCTGACACTAACCTCAGGGGAGTTCTACTGCCCAGTGCTTTAAGGGTTTCTCCAGCAGCCACCAGGTTACTTAGGACTCTTTGTATTTACCCGCTTCTCTTTGACAACGTCCTTGTAGCCTCCTTTCCTTGCAGCAGACCAAGTCTGTCTTACTAGACACTGCTAAGGAGATCTTCATGCCCTACACAGCTACCTGTGTGGTTTCTGGGTCCCATGGAGGGAGCCAAAAAGGCAGCCATGGGTCCTGGACCCTAAATCTTCTTGCATGGGTAATTAAAGGAATGTCCCCACCCCTCCCTAACCCCAGGAATCCTCTTTCCTGTCTGTTCCTCCATGCCTTTCACCAGAGCTTCTTCCCTACCTGGAGTGCCCATCCCTCCCTTTCTTCACTTGGCCAATTCTTGCACAGCTTTCCAGAATCCACTTAAATGTCACGGCCCTCCTGAGGACATCCTTCACCCTCCCATTCTACTGTCTCTGAGCCTCCTCCTCCCAAATAGCTTCTCTGGACCACTCAGGACAGGCTCAGTAAGTCCAGGAATATTTGCAGAGCTCTCCCCTCTTGCCCTCCCATAATTCTGCTCATGACTCTCCACCTTTTAACTAGCAGGGCCCTCCAAGGTCTGTTGCTTCTAGTGGAAACTGACCATCTAATCACAACCACACCATAATTTCAGGAATTTTAACCAATTTCTTCACGCACACTTATAAAAGGCTACATTCTTTTGCCTGTTCTAATCCACCCTAGGCAGAGATGGGGCTTCAGAGGTAAGGCTTAGAACATCCATCTTCCTACAGGTGAGCTACGTGGTAATCTGCAGGTGAAGCACCAAGGTGGGAGGGAAGTCAGAGAAACAGACTTTTTTGTGTATCACATCAAAAGTGGGCCTTGGAGCACAATGGAGGCCAGGCATAGTCTGGAAGTAACAGAAGAGGGTGAGGACCCAAAGGGGTCAGAGGATGAGAGCAGCATTTCCATCACCGTTCCTTCTTAGAACTGTTTGTTCAGCCCCATCCTGCCCCCACCATCCATCTTTCTGTACCATTCACAGCACCTCTGGAGCACTGGAAAACATTAGCAGGCTATTTCAAATCTGGTCTGCCTGATAAGGAATTCAGGATCTCAGAAAACATTTGTTTTGAGTTTAGATCACTTGATCAACCTTGCAGAGGGAACTTTGTCAGTAGAGAATAAACTGGGACAGGGGGACTTTCAGGCAATCTCCTCTAGAGCTAAAGGGGTTCCAGGTGACACCTGAGTTACACCACACCAGAGGTGCCTCACAGATGTGATAAAAGCTCTAGACAGTCTGGGTATGGTCGCTCACTTTGGGATCCCGGGTGGGAGGTCTGCTTGAAGCCAGGGGTTCAAGATCAGCCTGGGCAATAAGGCAAGACTCCATGCCTACAATTTTTTTTTTTTCTGAGACAAAGTCTTACTCTGTTGCCAGGCTGGGGTGCTGTAGCGTGATCTTGGCTCAATGCAACCTCCGCCTCCCGGGTTTAAACAATTCTCCTGCCTCAGCCTCCTGAGTAGCTAGGACTATAGGCGTGCACCACCACACCCAGCTAATTTTTGTATTTTTAGTAGAGGCGGGGTTTCACCATGTTGGCCAGGATGGTCTCAATCTCTTGACCTCGTGATCTGCCCGGCTGGGCCTCCCAAAGTGTTGGGATAACAAGCGTGAGCCACCGCGCCTGGCCCCATCTTTAAAAAATAAATGAAAAATGGCACCTGTTGCAGGTGATCCACAGCCAAGTGTGGTGGCTCAGGTGGTCAACCTGCCCTTGGTGAGCTCCACGTATGAGCTCATGTCCTCAGCCTATGTCAGCACAAAGGACCAGTATCCCTACTTCAAGTCTGTGTGTGAGATGGCAGAGAAGGGTGTGAAGACCATCACCTTGGTGGCCATGACCGGTGCTCTGCGCATCATCCAGAAGCTAGAGCCGCAAATTCCAGTTGCTGATACCTATTGCCGTAGGGGGCTAGACAGGACTGANTTTTTTTTTGCCAAGCACAATGCATGCCTATGATCCCAGATACTTAGGACGCTGAAGTGAAAGGGTTGCTTGACTTCAGGAGTTGGAGATTGCAGTGAGCTATTATCACACTGCTGCACTCCAGCCTGGGCAACACTGTAAGCCCCTGGCTCAAAAGACAAACAAAAGCTCTACACAGTAATCATCACTAATCAACTTGGGTGACTGAATCTAAGAAACTTTTCACTATGGATTACTACTATCATGCTCACACTGAGCCAAGAACGTCACAGGGAAATAAAGTAGAAGGGAAAACTGAAAACGGGGTTGCAAATACTTTTATTTATTTACTTTGTAGAGACAGGGTCTCACTCTGTCATCCAGGCCGGAGTGCAGTGGGTGTGATCATAGCTCACTCTAGCCTTGAACTCTTGGCATTAAGGAATCTTTCTGCCTCAGCCTCCCAAGTACCTGGGGCTAATTAAAAAAGAAAAAAAATTTCCTCCTGGGCACTCTAGGAAAAAAAAAAAAAAAAAAAGAAAGAAAAGAAAAAAAATTTTTTTTTTTTTTTGGTAGAGATGGAGTTTCCCTATGTTGCCTTCACTGGTCTTGAACTCTTAGGCTCAAGTGATCTTATTGTCTCAACCCCTTCAAGTATTGGGATTACAGCTGTAAGCAACCATGCCCAGTCTACAAATAATTTTTAAAACCAACAAGTCAAACGGCCTGGCCCAGTGGCTCACATCTGTAATCCCAGCACTTTGGGAGGCTGAGGTGGGCGGATCACGAGGTCACGAGTTCAACACCAGCCTGACCAATGGACAACCAGTTGAACCCTGGAGGAAGAGGTTGCAGGGAGCTGAGATAGCACCAATGCACTCCAGCCTAGGCAAAAAACAAAACAACCAAACCCAAAAAGTTTAGTATTTCTATGTTACTGACAATTGCTCGGAAGGCCTGAGACTTTCAAACCCTAAGCTACTCCTTCTCAGAGTTCTGTCTTGAGGACAGTGCCCTTTATGACTGGAATTTAGCTCAATAAGTAACCTGATGTAACTACCAGAAAGATTCTATACATAGTCCTTCAAGAACTAGGTTACTTAGAAGTGCCATTATGAAACTCACTTTCATTAACGTGCTACAAGCAAGACGGTAGTTAGCCCTAAAAAAATTAAAAATTCAAGAGCTGGTAAAACTTACTGTACTCATTGTGCTCTTTGGTGCCAATGTACAGAAAAGGAAGTGATCTATGCCAAGGTTTGCAGGGAAGTCAAGTGTTCTCAACCTTTCATGCCCTCTGATTACTCATCTGGCTTGCAGAAGAATTTGGATCTGGGCAGATTTCCAGTATTTTCAAGTCCTGAAAAACAGAGATATCAATAAGATCAATGCTGCCACTTACATCACTGATAACAAAGCTCAGTTCAATAATGTACTGGTCCTTTCTGTTACTAGGTTCTTTGTGGAATATTTTACGTAATGACATCCTTAATTCTATATTTATCTCAGGAAGTAAGCGTTATTGTCACGTACAGGACTTCCTGATCTCAAAGCCCGTGACTGTAATGGTTATGCCACCTCCTACCCTTCTTTCCAGCTCCTGCCATCCTGGCAAGGTACTGTGCTAAGTGCTGGGAAGAGGCAAAAGTCAGCGCTTCCGCACATGGCCACACCAAACCCTCAGCAAAGGGGAGGGAAGGGACCGAGCTTCTGAGCCAAGCAGAGCCCAGAGCCTCAGGCTCTTCCCACAGTTTCACTGTCAGAATCGAGGAGACAAGAGCCACTCAAGGCATTCTGTGTGTCCAACTGAGCCTGTGTCACTGGCACAGGTGAATGGTGAACTGGGAGACTGCGAACTGGGAAGCCAAGTACAAGGTTTGAGGAAATGTAGAGAAATCAGAGGCAGAAGCTGAGAGGCCCTCAGATTAAATTCAGGGACCCACTGAGAAGTGAGGCTGACCACGGTAAACTCAGTGTCAGTGACGCAATGCATAATGGAGCCACGAGCCCTGGGCACAGGGCATGGTTGAGGGACTAACAAAGAGCCAAAGCAAGGATAAGACCCTTGTGGTCACCCACCGCTGGGTGCTAGTGGCTTAGACTAGGACAGTGCGTCACAAACATGGGCCTGCATCAGGCTCTCCCACAGCCCACAGAAGGCTTGTGAAGCACAGGCTGCTAGGCGCCCCCCAATTTACATTTCTAACATGTTCCCAGGAGTTGCTGCTCCAAAGACCACACCATGGAACGCACTGAAGTAGCATAATGAGATGGAGTTGCAAAGTAGACGTAGGTGAGAGACCCAGGTGGCAGAAACGACAGGAGCGCTCTCACATCCACCCTTCTGTGCATCCCCAGTGCTGCCTTGTCACATTCCTCCAAACCACGACCGTACCTGCTCATACTGGGTCTCCTTCCCTGGGTACCTAACTATCCTACTGCCAGCCCATCTTTCCAAAACAGTTTGCTGCAGCAACTTTCCCTGGCACCTTATGAAGGCCTAATTCCTAAGCATGGTGTATGAAGCCTGGTTGGCATTCAAATTAGAGCATATCACTTGAGCAAGGCAACTGGGATTGAAATCCAGGCACTGGCTGGGCACCGTGGCTCACACCTGTAATCAGGAGTTTGAGACTAAGCCTGGCCAACATGGTGAAACCCCATCTCTACTAAAAAATACAAAAAATTAGCTGAGCGGGTGGTGGACGCTTGTAATTCCAGCTACTCGGGAGGCTGAGGCAGGACAATCTCTTGAATCTGGGAGGTGGAGGTTGCAGTGAGCCAAGATTGTGCCATTGCAGTCTAACCTGGGCAACAAGAGTGAAACTCCATCTCAAATAAACAAAAACAGGCTGGGCGTGGTGGCTCACACCTGTAATCCCAGCACTTTGGGAAGCTGAAACGGGCAGATCACGAGGTCCAGAGATCAAGGCCATCCTGGCCAACATGGTGAAACCCCGTTGCTACTAAAAATGCAAAAATAATTAGCCAGGCGTGGTGGTGTGTGCTTGCAGTCCCAGCTACTTGGGAGGCTGAGGCAGGAGAATTGCTTGAAACCGGAAAACGGAAGTTGCAGTGAGCTGGGATCATGCTACTGTACTCCAGCCTGGTGATAGAGTGAGACTCTGTCTCAAAAACAGAAACAAAAAATCAGGCACCCAACCTGTGACCTTGGGGCATGGCACTGAACTTCTCTGTGCACCATTTCCTTATCTATTGAACAGAACTGCACCTACCTCAAGGGTGTGCGAAGATTCCAGAAGTTATTACAAGAGAATGTCTAGAACAGTTCAGGCACACTGTAAACGCTCAGTGTTTGTGGGCTGACACATACCCATCACCATACTCAGCCCCCCAGCACCAGGCTGGCAGTCTCTACAAATACACCTTCCCAGTGCCCAGCTCCAACCTGCTCAAGTCCTACAATGCTGTGTGATAAATCCCACTCGGCTTTTTTTGTTTTTTTTTTTGAGATGGAGTCTCCTCTATCACCTAGGCTGGAGTGCAGTGGCATGATCTCAGTTCACTGCAACCTCCACTTCCTGGGTTCAAGTGATTCTCCTTGCCTCAGCCTCCCAGGTAGCTGGGACTACAGTTTCGTGCCACCACACCTGGCTAATTTTTGTATTTTTAGTAGACACAAGGTTTCACCATGTTGGCTAAGCTGGTCTCAAACTCCTGACCTCTGGTGATTCACCTGCCTCAACCTCCCAAAGGCTGGGATTCTAGGTGTGAGCCCCCGCGCCTGGCCTCCCACCCAGGTTTAAGAAGGGGCTGCATACCTCCTGTCTCATTAGCAGTACAGCCCCTGCCCTGGGAATATAGCAATGAGTAAACACAGCCTCTGTACGGAATCTAGTGGAGGTAGAGGGGTGAGGAGGGTGCTGGTGGGCAGCTGTAACTGAGTTAGGAACTAAGCGTGCAAGAAGTACAGGAGAAGGGGAGGCCAGAGGAGGTTTCTCAGGAGACGCCCAAAGATGCCGCCAGTCCCAGCTGAGCTGGGGATTTTCTTCAACACTTGGTGGTCTGATTCTGAGAAAATGGCATACTGTGAGTATCTCACTCCCTTAGCACCTCATTCTCCAGCTTGACCTGAATGGTTTGGAGCTGAAATTCCCTTCACTGTGTTAAAAGGGTAACTTGCATCTCCTTAGGCTGGCCCATACTATGGGACTACAGGTGCTCTCACCAGAATGCACAAATGGGCCAGGCACAGTGGCTCATGCCCTGTAATCCCAGCACTTTGGGAGGCTGAAGGGAGAGGGTCTCTTGAGTCCAGTAATTGTAAACCAGCTTGGTTAACATGGCGAGATTCTGCCTCTACAAAAAATTAAAATTAAATTAAAAAACTATCAAGATGTGGTGGCAGTCACTTGTAGTCCCAGCTACTGCAGGGGCTGAGACAGTGGGATCACTTGAGCCCAGGAGTTCTAGACTGCAGTGAACCATGATTGCACCACTGCACTCCAGCCCAGGCCACAAAGTAAAGTCCCTTAAAAAAAAAAAATGCACAAATGCTTCCCAAAGCAACACCTCACCTGGTAAGTGTTCAACTTTAAACAGACATTCAAGGAAGAGGTTCTGGCTAGGCCAAGACTAGCTGGTTTGAACAGAGGTGGGAGGTGCCCTGACATCACCTTAGGACTCAAGGCCATTCAGACCACCACAGTCCCAGATCCACCACATGTCCTGGGTTCTAATATCCACAAATGTTTCTGATGCCAAGAAATATCTTACATTTGGGTGCACACCTGTAACATAGGGGCTTTTTTTTCCACTGGAAAATTATCCACATCAACAGTGTATCTCAGAATTTAGAAGAGAGACATGCCACTGACAAAGGCAGATGGAGAGATCAGCCTGGAGAGCAAAGGGAAACACCTGAGGCCCACAACCGGGCTGTTCTTAAGCCTTTCTCCTTCCATTTCGTTGCTATCGAGGCTTCCAACTATTGCTGAAGATATCCTTTGTGGCTGTCCTGGCCTGCACACCCCTCACGACTCTGAAACCAGCCTCCTGCATCCCTAATAATGGCCCAGCTAGACCATTATTACTTCCCTGCAAAGCCGTCTGGAGCTTCCTCATTCTCCATGCACTGGCCCATACAGCAATTTGTTTTTCTCTCTTCTGGGTTTAGTAAGGGTCAGGAGTCAAAGCTGGAAGGAATTTGGAAGGCTGGCCTTAGGGAAATCCATCAAGGGGCTGGATTTCACCAGGGCACTGAAGTGAGACAGGAGTATTCCCAGCAGAGCATCCCCAGGGTGGTGGGAATACAAAAATGGAGTGAATGGAGACCTACGGGGTCATGGGAAAGTAGCCCTCACCAACTACAAAGGGTTCTGAATCATGCAGGTGAGGGAGTCCAACGGAATAAGAAACTAACAACAGCTGAGCGGTGCCTTCTACACATACTCACAAGGTACTGTGCTTCCCAAATATGAATGTCACCCATGTGCTCCCCACATCACCCAGTAAAGAAACAGGCAACTGTTGCGGTCCCCATCTTACACATGAGGCAACTAAGGATTCTCAGGAGTTAAGTAACTTGCCCAAAGTCGTCCACACCTAGCAAACAGACCCTAGGCTTAAACCTCCTCAAATAGGTACGTTAGTGGCAGAATCAGATACATTAATTCTAGAAAGGAACACTGACGGTGATTTTCAGATTACTCAAACTTAGTGTGTTCCAAAGGAACCCCTGCCTCCTCCTTCCGCCAACAGGTACTCCATTTTAGAAAGGGTGCCAGCACACTCCAGTCTCTCGTCCAGTATGCTCTCTCACTTACGTAAGTGCTACAAGGACAGGGCTATTTCTACTTTGTACCTAGCCACGACCTTGCACAAAGCAGATGCTCATATTTATTGGAGGAATATATGAAGGTAAGAGTTGGGTGTTGATGGCACCCCCACCACTAAGAAAAGAGGAGATGAGGTAGAGAAGTGGTCATGTCTGACTGGTCAGGAGAGCCAGGTGTTAGGGATTCCTAAAGCTTCCAAGGTGAAGGGAGAAACAAATCATGCCAAGGTGTCTAGCTTCTTAATCTACCAGAGTGATGCCATAAAACCAAATGAGGGAAGGGAGAATACAACAGATGCTGAGGGTAGTTTTAGAAAAGCTAGGTGTGAGATACCAAGGGAGAAAGGACCACAGGTAGCTGCAAACTCCAAAGCGAGAACTGGAATGGATGTCGAGATTTCAGAATGTGTGAAAACTTGGGAAGGTGGGTAGATAAGGTCTGTAAAAGAGAATTTTTTAAAAACTTATTTGTTTACTTATCTTTTTTGAGACAGAATTTCGCTCTTGTTGCCCAGTCTGGAGTGCAATGACACGATCTCGGCTCACTGCAACCTCCGCCTCCT